TGGCCTGGGCCCGACCTCGGTCCAACCCAATACCTCGCGCAGCCCAATAAGCGAATTGGCCACGCCGGACACGCGCGCCCGCGCCCGGGCGGAACGCACCACCGGACACTGGCGACGCATCCAACAGCCTCTCGCCGTCCCCTCTTATCAGCCAAACAGGACGCACCCCAGCGCATCGAAATGAGACCTTGGTTCCTCCCTTCCGCGGGGAGAACAATGCCCTCCGGGGAACCTCCCGAGCTCCCCTCCGCGGGGAGAACAACGTCCCCCGGGGAACCTCCCGAACTCCCCTCCGCGGGGAGAACAACGTGCCCGGTGCACGTTCTCCACGTGCTCCCCTCCGCGGGGACACGTCATCAACCAACTGCCCACCTCCGAAAGAGCAGGTCAAACCCACTTTCCGGAAATCAAGGAGCAGTTGGACTAGGGCGAATACCACATCCTGGTCTTCACTACGCCACGTAAGCCCTAACAGTCATTAGGGTTGGGCCTGGTCATCCAGGCCACCTCAAATGACCGTTGGCCCAACGCTGGGGTCTCTCTATAAATACCCTCTTCCTCAAGAGGGTCAGGTAACACACTTCTTACCCTTTTTCTGTACTCTGCCCGCACTCTGCCAAACTCCTTACTTTGGCATCAGAGTGTTTTGCAGGTACACCCCCTTCTCTTCCTCAGCACCGGTGAGCACGTAGCAGTCCAATAGAGTGTGGCCGGCCCGTGATCCCCTTCTGATCAGGTCAGATCACTAACTTTGCAGATGAAACTCTTTTTCACAATATCATAAATTAAAGTCCAATGTTACAATTCATACCCATCAATGACCAATCAGTTATAATTTTCACTCATAATATAATCAAATCATATAAGAAAGTTATAATTTTCACTCATAATATAATCAAATTATATAAGAAATTTATATTAACACAAAAGTTAAGACACGAAAGTGGTATTTACATTTGATTTAAATATACATTAGGTTAACTTATATTAATGAATGTGACTCTTGATTTAATCATCACTAACTTCGAGCCGCATTAATTATTCTTACTAATTGTGAAAACATGATAACACATAATTTTAAAATCCTAATTTTGTAGGATAAAATATATATTCAGCAACTTTAAAAAAAAAAGCACGTGATTTGAAATTTAAGATGGATTTTTATTTATTGATTTAGATTCCGACTTTTTTTTAAATGATTTTTATAGTGTAACAAGCAAAAAAAATTACAAAGAATTTTTTTATAAAAGTTTCAAATAAAAATTTGATTTAAATAATTATTTTTAAAATATTATTTTAGATATTTTATTATTTTATTGAAAAAAAATTTAATTGCAAAATTTTTAAAAATCACTTAATTTTAAAGATATTTCAAATAATTTTTAAAAAAAAATCATTTTTGAGATGCAACTTTTTTTAAAATTTGCAATTTCAACTATATTTTGATCTTCAATAATAATGTATGTTTATGTTATAAAATATTAAAATTAATTTTCCAATTAAAAGAATTTGTAATATTTTTAAAAATAATTTTACAAAATTCATTTTAAAAATACAAACAAAAAATTCATTTTTTTTAAACAGGAGCAAATAGACCCGAGAATATATGTCCTCACTGTATTTTTTTTCTCTTTAAAAGACTCACTATACTTTGTTTTCAAAAATTAAGTCACCGTCGTTTTGCTGCTTTATCTGCTGTCGCAATAAGGATTGAAATGACACTTTTAGACCACATATAGCTGACAGCCAATATTTATTTTCCAATATTCATTTTCCAGTTGGCAAAACTAAATATTATTATTAATCCTTTCCAGACTTTTTTCTTACTTTCTATTTTTCAGAAACTCTTCCAGGGTTTTATAGTTGTTAGCGACTTCTTTCTATTTTTTCGAAAAAACTTATCGTTAAAACGCCATTTCAAATCGGGTGATTAACGTTGCCCTCTTACCTTACACTCTCACACACGATTAAACGCACGCCATTTCCAGATTTTTCTCGCTGAACCAAATACAGAATGCAGAAACCTACCAGAAACTCACGCACCTGTACCACCGGAATCCTCACGTGGCCGGAAAACTCTTCACCGACTGCTTTCACCGGCCACCGTCCTCACCAGGTTACAACATTTCTATTATCTACTCAATTATTTCATTTTTTTTGTGAAAATTATTTGGATTCTGTTTTAATCAGGTTTTTTTCTTCGTTCGTTTTGTGTACACAGCCGTCGCATGATATCGGTGACGTTCTCCATGGCAAAAAACTCACGGAGAATGAAGAACATAATTTAGCCAAGTGGTAATTTGTTTTTGTTTTCTAAATTAGTTCAATGTTGAAATGTGAATTCAGATCTGATTGTGTTGTTTTGTTTGTTATTGATCGGAATTGTGATTCGATTGCGATTCTTTCGCTGATATGTGATTTTGATTTTTTTTTTTTTTTTTTTTGCGCTACACGGATCTGTTTTGCAATTTTGGAAAGGCACTGAGTTTTTTAAATTAGGTTATTTGTTAGAGTTTTTTCTAATATTTTTAATTCATTCGTTGAATTTCAGTGAATTATGTTATGATGAACAATTGACTTAAACTTTTGTAAACTGGAAATGGAGTTGCAATTTATCATAACTAATATTAGTATTTTTATTGTGCATCTATGGAGCATGAATACGAGACACTTAAAACTATTATGAGTTGAAATCAGGACTGAATTAAAACTACATTATGTTGTTTTGATACTTAATTTCAAAGATTTGAGTTATCAAATTTTGTTGTGAAGCTTGTTTTCTTTTTGGTGTTAGCCACCTACACTTCTTCACTTGATGAGATTCATTTCCCATTTTGTTTTCTAATTTTACCTTCTTCTAAGTTTTCTATTATCCTTCTTCGTGGATTTTGATGTTTGTCGCCCAAATTTCTATTTCTTCTTTTTCTTTGTAACTTTATGTTGTTGTAAAGCATATGCTTCTGTGTGTTGTTCAGGAAACCAAGTTTGGGGTATTCTAGAGTGAAAGAGGCGACTGGAAATGGTATATTTTTGCCAAATGCTGAGAATACCACATCGAAAGCCAATGCTGCAAAGTCTAAAGACAGTGGTATATTTTCTGCAAATGCTGAGGATACCACATCAGAAGCCAACGCTGCAAGCTCTAAAGACAGAACAAGCATACGCGTATATCAGGTATACTAATTGATTGCCTTGTTTCGGAAGAAAAATTGAGATTTGACAGGATAAATGTGAGTGTTTCACAAATATCAACTACATTGTGATAACTGTATTCTTGTTTTATTCCCTGCAATCGCATCTTAGCAAGCAATGGATGGAATTAGTAAGATATTACTCAACGCTGAAGAAAGCATTTCTCCTGAGAAGCCAGCCTCTTTACCTGGGGCAGCAAAGCAGCGGGAACTTGGTGGAACATTGCAAAATGAACCAGGCACAAATAGCAAGAAACTGATGTCTAGTTCCAAGACCAAGGAGATTAGCGGAAATGATATATTTGCTACTCCTCGTGAAACTACACCCCGTTCATTGGCTGCTCCAAAATCTAATGTAAGTGTCTTCTCGTCGTTAAAATCAGTCATGTCATCTTATCTATCTCTTATAACATATATGTAGTTGTTCATAATGATGAATTTTGAAGTTTGATGGTCCACAATGTCACCTTATGCTTTCTTGATGGGCAAAATTTAAATACGGATTAATTTTCCTATAATAGTGTGAAGATATAACCCAAGGGTTGTAATAGAAATACAGTTGTAACTCTTCAAGAATACCACTTACTTGGGCCAGGATTATAAAGATATTTTATATCAGTGTTTGTTCTCTCACCAAAACTACCTTGTACTCTTTCATCCTCTTATATTTCATTCTGACCTTAGTTTCATCTCTGTTTAGGCTGCTGGTATCCGAAGTAATATACTCAGTGAAGAATCAGTTCAGAAGAACTCAAAGAAAATGCATGGCCAGAAGTTTGTAGAGCTGACAGGCAATAATATTTTCAAGGGAGATGTTACTCCAGAATCAGTGGAAAAACCTCTGAGCATGGTGGCTAAACTAAGAGAAATGAAAGGCAGTGACATATTTGCTGACGGAAAGGCAGAAAACAGAGACCGCTTACTAGGTGCCCGCAAACATGCTGGTGGAGGAAGCAACATATTTTCTGATGGAAAGGCAGAAAACAGAGACCGTTTACTAGGTGCTCGCAAACATGCTGGTGGAGGAAGCAACATATTTTCTGATGGAAAGGCAGAAAACAGAGACCGTTTACTACGTACACACGCGTGTGGAGGAAGCAACATATTTTCTGATGGAAAAGCAGAAAACAGAGACCGAATACTAGGTGCCCGAAGACCCCCTGGTGGAGCAAGCAGCATTGTCCTAGATTAAACTTTATTTTCTAGTTCCTCCAGTTCACTGTATAGGTATTACGAATTCCTTGGAACTCCCATGTTTTGATTGGAAGGATCAATTGTTGGATAGTTGGCATTTATAGTAATGCAGTGTAACTAGTTTGTGTTATCATAATGGGTGCAAATGGTTATTTATGTCATGACCATAACAATTTGTTAAGATTTTATTTATTGTTGGCATTGTATAGTAATGCACTAGTTCGTGTTACCATAATGGGTGCAAATGGTTATTTATTTTGATTTACACAACCATAGTTATTTATTTTTTACTCACTATAAAAAATTTGTTGAGATTTTATTTCTTATTATACGAATTTACTATTTCAATGAGATTATTATAGAGAAGTTAAGTTCCATAGTTGCTGGGTTATGTTTTTCAAATAGTTGCCTCATGTTCTTAGAACTATAGTTATGGCTGCAAGAAATATAAATTAATCGGCATAAATAACTTAATAACAAGAGAATTAGACAAGGATGTATCTTTATTTAAGGAGGCAAAGTTCTATTTTGAATTTCAGTACATATTCAAAACATATTATTTAAAGCCGCCAGGATATCTCATACATCTCATGACTATTAGACAGAGTAAAAACTCTAGTCCTCACGTCCCAACAACGCCAGGAGAATTTTCTGATAGTCTCCAGATGTGTCTTTGTCAATTGCACGATCCAGAGGAACACTGTTTCTTTTTTGGTATTCCTCTGCAATTCGCTGCAAATCAACCTCAGCTCTAGTTGTCACCACTCTAGTTAGGGCCGATTCATCAGTTCCCATCTTGTTTATAGCCAGCCTTAAGAGTTCCTCAAAATATTTCTCAGGGTAGGTCAAGCACTTAATTGCTGCCTTCAATAATTTCAGATATTCATCTTCAGAACCAGTTTCCAGATCCTGCAGCCAGAAGCTTATTGTCAGTTCTCCTACAAGCCACAAGCTTATAATGACTTAATGACTTAACCATAACAAGCTTGACCCTGTCCTTTAAAAAAATTAAGTAACAATGACATTAAGACGATTAGAATATAATTCTTTGAAAGGTTGCAAATTGTTTCATCTATAATATGATTATTGCTCAAAATCATGTTTTTAAAGTGAACAATGACATTTTAGAGGGCGCAAGTTTGTGACATTATATTTGATCTGCCTACGTGCTGTGATAGTTGCCAAATAAATTTTACGCTCTATGCAAATACTGCTGCAGATACTCATAAAAAAGCAGGTGTTAAGTTGAAAACAGAGAAATAACTCATAAATGGCCAAAACATTCATACCTTGTCTATTACATGGCCAAACGCATTGTTATAGTGGTTCAAAGTTGCATTCAACTGCGCTTTACTCCTTGTTGTTACAATCCTGATCAGGTCCTCATGATTGTAGGCCTTATCTGCGATCTTGTCATGAAGCAATTTAGCTTCAGATTTTGCCAATGTCATGTTCACCTCATCCCCCTCATAACGGAATATGCCCACAAGAGGAACCAAAAGCTTTTATGAAGTATCAGAAACAAAGTTTCATCAGATATTAGTGGGAAAATATTAGATCCAGATATAACAGAAGAATGAAAAGTTAAATACAAATAGCCTTTTGGTTTTATACACCAAGATGCATGTATTTTCCTTAAAGTTGAAAAGATTTACACCTCATAATTTTAAATTTTGAAATATTTTGATTGACAGAGAAATAAAAGAGATTCTCCATAATCTAAATATTGTGTATGAACATGCAAGAAATTAACCAGTTTAAAGTTTAACCTTGCGGATGTCACCAGAAGTATGATAGGCAACATCTTCTTCAAGAGACTTCTTGTAAAGGGCTTGGTATGCTTGCTTTGCCTTGAGGAGTTCGAGTGGGGATCTCGTGGAAGCAATTTCCATGATGATAGTGTTGCTTGAAGTCAACATTTTAGTTGCTTGGTTAGCTAAATAGGCATCACGCTCAGCAGGATCCAAGGTCCACAGCAACACAGCTTTCTGTCATATTCAAAACATCAAACATTAGACATGATTCATGAATATAACTTCATATGTTTCCCATCGTCAAGGTTATCGATACAAAATACTGAAATTAAGTACTATGAAATTCCAAAGTCGACAACAGATAATGAAAAGGATAAGCGTCAAACTGAGATTCACGTAAAGAAGCTATAGATTAAAAAAAATTTTAACCGACCTCAAAATCACTAGAAAGTTCTTTGTCTAAATCTTTAAGAAGATCTTCTCCATGTGTTTGAGCATAAGTTTCACGAATTGCCTTACGCTGGGCTGCATTTCTATGAGTCAGGATAGATATTATCAAGCCTTCATTCGTTCCCCATCCTGCAAAAATGTCACGAAAACAAAAACATGACGGACGCAAATTTACAGCGTTCAATTTTTCCGCAGTTTCATATTGTGTTCTTATTTTAGAGCATATCATAGTATATACTGAGATCGATCATACACCAAATAAATTTAAAATCCCGTCTATTACACATTTTAGTGCAGTGATGCTATGTCAAATTGAAATGCGTCTGTATGAAACCGTTCCCATTCCTTTAAGATCTTAAATGGAAAAAATGTTGACACTATCCTTTAAAAATCAAGATCCTGAAGAGGATATTCAAATTTCTTTTGAACAACACGCGCAGCAAAAGCAATCAAATATGAGTGAGATCGACATTCATCAAATAAAAATAACTAACAGGGAATGAATAAACCAAACAGATAACACAAAACTGTAATGCATACGTACAACAAATTAATCCGTGATCTAATTAACAGTTGTGAGCTATGAGCAAAACGTATGATGAAATCAGCATAAAAATATTACGATCGCGCAATAAATGAGAAGTCCAAACAAGATTATAGATCTAAATAAATTGAACAGGTTGATGATGAAATCAACATGAACGAAATAAAAGAAAATGAATCGTGATGATTGACCTTGAAAAGCACCGCGCAATTGTTCAGTGTCTTCTGATGGATGAGGAACGTGAGAGGGGATCTTCAATGACGCCATTGCGAATGTGTTGCTTTCAGGATCGATCTGTGTGTAGAATGTGCCGTTGAAAACTGAAAAGGAAATGGAAGCTCGATCATTTATACAAAGGACGTGCCGATGATTAGGGGTCTTCCTTATTCACTTTCTTTCACAATACAAACCATCAATTTCTTTTTTAAATAATGTTTTTTAACTAATTTTAATTTCATTTTATATATTGCTCATTATGTAATAGGTGACTCAAAATCTTATTAAGAAAATAAAACTATTGTTGTATTAAACATTAAAATTGACACATAGATTTCTTTGTGAAGGTTATAAATTATGGAAAATATAGTATTTTTTAAATTTTAATCTCAAAAAAGAAATATATTTTTTATTTGTCCGTCATTGTAAATATATTACGTTTTGTTTTGCTTTTAATTAGCTCTGAAATATTTGTTTTAACTATTAACTTTAAACACTAACAAAAACAATCAAATTAAGATTCATTTAAGTGAATTTCATATTATCAAACGAAGATAGGTTTAATTAAAATAAATATGAAATGTGTAAATCCTTCTCATATCTAACAAAAGGATCAAGTAAGGTTTTTGGGAGTATAAAAATTATTCAAAAATACGCGGAACTTGACCATTTAATTTATTTATAGTGTCATTAACTCAAACAATTATCTAGTGTAAAAAAAAACTCAAACAATTATCTTATTAATTGAGTTGGGCAAAGCATAGTATGCTACGTTTACTCAGCAAAAAGAAGAATCAAATCAAATTATTTTTGTAAATTTATTATTTATCCTTTTGCATTGTTTTTTATTTTCGTAGTTACATTTTCGAAGATATATCGGTAATAGATTCAACACAAAGTAATTTTTTTAAAATAAAATTGATATTTATAACATAAAATAAGCATTACAATGATAATTTTCAACATAAGATACAATATTACACTTCAATATTTCGGTGAACGCTTGTACATCTTCAGAAATATTTTTCGACCGATCTTTATAGGGTCGCTTCTAACTCGAGGAAACTTTTGTTTCGAAACGAAAATACGTATTCCACATAGCCCTAACACCTGCTTATTAGTAATAATTCATATTTTATTATATTATTTTCTTAAGCCCATAAGTTTGTTAGAGGGTATTTTAGTATTTTATCTTATTCTAGTAACCCTAGTTTTAGCTTATAAATAGGGTGACAATCATTGTAACTCTTAATCCTGTTTCTTCTGCCGTCATTCTCTTTAATAGAATATTTCCCTATTTTCATCATTTATTCTATCTTTGCACCAACAATTGGTATCTAGAGTTCCGGTTCAGATTCATTGGGAAACACGGGAAACACGAGTGAACGTGAGGTCTTGTGTGTTTGATTTTGATTCTTAGATTCGTGTTGAATCTTGAACAAAATCTGATCAGAATTTTATTCTGTGGGTTGGGAAACACTGTGTGAGAAATCTGAGTGTATTGTGCAAAGTAGAAGATGAACGGAAACAGCAACATGAACACCAAACTTCCAGTATTTGATGGTAAAAACTGGAATCGTTGGATGATCCAAATGCGTGTACTATTTGGTGCTCAAGATGTTCTAGATCTTGTCACTGATGGTTATGTTCCAGTAGCAGCAGATGCAACCGATGAACAGAAAAACGCGCAGAAGGAAGTAAGGAAGAAGGATCAGAAAGCATTGTTCTTCATTCATCAATGTGTGGATGTAAACGTGTTTGAGAAGATTGCAGACTCTACAACAGCAAAGGCTGCATGGGACACTCTGGTGAGATGTTATGGTGGTGACGCATCAGTGAAGAAGGTGAAGCTTCAGTCCTTGAGAAAGCAATATGAGAATCTCAACATGAAGAATAATGAGAAAGTTTCTGAATACATCTCCAGAGTGATTCTGATCACTAATGAGATGAAGGCATGTGGAGAAACTCTTTCTGAAGAAACAATCATGGAGAAAGTATTGAGATCCCTTACTCCTCAATTTGATTACATTGTGGTAGCAATAGAACATTCCAAAGATCTGAGCACAATGAGAATTGAAGAGCTGCAGAGCAGTTTAGAAGCGCAAGAGTTGCGTTTGACTAAGAGAACTTCTGAAAGGGAAGTAGAGCAGCAGGCTCTGAAAGCAATTTCTGATAGGAGGTATCAGAAGCAGTCAGAAGCCAAGAGAAGATCTGATGGTGGTCAGAAGTCAGAAACCTCAACCTCTGATAGACAAAAGAATGCTCAGAAGGGAAAAGAGAAGTATGACAAGAAGAAGATCCAATGTTACTGTTGTAAGAAGTTTGGTCACTTTGCTAGAGATTGTTGGTCAAACAAGGAGAAGAAATCAGAAGAAGCAAATATAGCCAGAAGTTCTGATGACGAATCTGTGCTATTGATGGCCTCTGAATCTGATGATCTGACAGACTGGTGGTATATGGACACTGACTGTTCAAATCATCTTACTGGAAACAAGAAATGGCTGGTTGACTTTGACTCTGAAAAGAGAACAAAGATCAGATGTGCTGATGACAAATATCTTAATGCAGAAGGTATGGGAAATGTCAGAGTGACTCTGAACAATGGGAAAATAGCATTGATTCAGAATGTGTGGTATGTACCTGGCATCAGAAGCAATCTGATGAGTGTGGGACAATTAATTGAGAAAGGTTTCTCAGTTACCATGAAGGACAATCTTCTGAAGTTGTATGACTGTAATCAGAAGTTGATTATGGAGTCAGAACAGGGAAGGAATAGAACATTCAAGGTGAATGTCAGAACTGCAGACTCAGAGTGTCTTAGTGCAACAAGTACTGAGAAGGAGAGTGAGCTGTGGCACAGAAGATTTGGTCATTTGAATTTCAGAAGCTTACAACATCTGAATTCAAAGAAATTGGTACATGGAATTCCTGCAATTAAGAAGCCTGAAAAGTCATGCAAAGTTTGCATGGAAGGAAAACAACCAAGATTGCCATTTGCATCAGAAGTTGCTCCAAGAGCAAAACATGCCTTGGGAGTTGTACACTCTGATGTGTGTGGTCCATTTCTAGTAGCATCAATTGGAGGGAATAAATACTTTGTGTTGTTTGTTGATGAATTCACAAGAATGACATGGGTATCCCTTATTAAGTTCAAACACGAGGTGTTTGATGAATTCAAGAAGTTCAGAATGAAGGCTGAGAATCAGAGTGGTCAGAAGTTGAAGATTCTTAGAACTGATGGTGGAGGTGAGTATAACTCCAAAGAGTTCCAGAAGTTCTGTGAGGAGAATGAAATTGAGCATGAGGTTACTGCTCCTTATACTCCTCAACACAATGGTTTTGCTGAAAGAAGAAACCGTACTTTGCTTGATATGGTGAGAAGCATGCTAAAGGAGAAGAAGCTTCCTCAGAAGCTCTGGGGAGAAGCTGTTGTCACTGCAACGTATGTACTCAACAGATGTCCTACGAAGAAGTTGAAGGAAATAGTTCCTATGCAAAAGTGGACTGGAGACAAGCAAAGTGTTAGTCATCTGAAGGTGTTTGGTTCTGTTTGCTATAAACATGTTCCAGAAGCCAGAAGACAGAAGCTGGATGATAGAAGCAAAGTGATGATTCTGATAGGGTACCACAGTACAGGTGCATACAAGCTCTATTGTCCAGAAACCAATAAAATTGAATTCAGCAGAGATGTGATTGTGAAGGAATCAGAAGTTTGGAATTGGGATAAGTCTCAATCTGATTCTGATGTTAGAACCTCTGAAGAAAGGCCAGAGTTAAGAATTTCTGAAGTTGGAGTAAACCCTGACGTTGACTCTGACTCTGATACTGATTCAAACTCTGAAGATGACTCAGAAGATGAAGGTGACTCTGATGACCCAGACTCTGATAATTCAGACTCTGATGACAATCCAGATCTTGGTGGCAATTCAGACTCTGGAAATATGCCAGACCCTGAAGATGGTCAAAGCTCTGGAGGTCAATCATCTGAAGCTAGAAACTCTGAAGCTCAAGACTCTGAACAAGTTCAGAGACCAAAAAGAATCAGAAGCGTTCCCAGAAGATTTGCAGAATTCGACATGCTGCAAGACACTGAAGTAGACTCTGAAGGAGAAGTTATTCAGTGTGCCATGTTAGTAGACTCTGAACCTATAAGTACAGAGGAGGCTCTTAAGCAGAAGCTCTGGCTGAAGGCCATGAAAGAAGAACTTGATGCTATAGAGAGAAACAAGACTTGGAAGCTGACAGAACTTCCAAAAGACAAGAAAGCCATCAGCGTCAGATGGGTTTTCAAGCAGAAGTTAAAGCCAGATGGCTCAATTGGCAAACATAAAGCAAGGTTGGTAGCCAGAGGATTTCTACAGAAACCTGGGCTGGATTATTCTGAAGTGTTTGCACCTGTAGCAAGACATGAAACAATCAGAATGGTGATTGCAATAGCTGCTAACAGGAATTGGCCTCTGATGCATCTAGATGTAAAATCTGCATTTCTGAATGGTCCATTAGAAGAAGAAGTTTACGTGTCACAACCTCCTGGATTTGTGAAAAACAATCAGGAAGGGATGGTGTACAGATTATACAAAGCTCTATATGGACTGAAACAAGCGCCCAGAGCTTGGAATCAGAAGATTGATTCATTTTTCAAGAAGCAAGGCTTTCAGAAATGTGAGATGGAGTACGGTGTCTATGTTCAGCATACTTCTGAAGACAATATGACTCTGGTATGTTTATATGTTGATGATATACTATTGACTGGAAGTTCTGAACAGGAGATAGCCAAGTTCAAGAAAGTTCTAATGAATGAATTTGAAATGACTGATCTAGGCAAAATGACATACTTTCTAGGGATGGAGTTCAGATATTCTGAGAAAGGTATCATTTTGCATCAGCTCAAGTATGAATTAGAACTTCTGAAGAGATTTGATCTGAAGAATTGTAAGATGGTTGTCACACCTTCTGATACAAATCAGAAACTGGATTCAGACTCTGAAGGAAAGGATGTGGATGCTACAACCTTCAAACAGTTGGTTGGTTCTCTGAGGTATCTGTGCAAT